ACCTTTGACCTTTGACCCCCAGCTTCGACATCCCAACTCGTTTTCGGATTACCCCCCCACGTCCCGAATATCGTGACCGTACGTCGAGCGGTTAAGATTTGTGCCCAACTGTTGCCGGACGGACGGGCGGCCGGACGGACGGACGATCATGCGATTCTACAAGCTGCACCTGACTACGTCAGATGAGCTAATGAAGCCCAGCTTCAGTATTAATTTCCATTTTTTGGGATTTAATTATGCTGCATACCAAAAAATGTGGTAATCAAGGTTTCATTTATTTCTAAAGAATATTCAACGACAAATTGGCATGCAGCATCTCAAAGATTTTTACATAACGGTAACCTGTATATTTTTATCATACATTGTTTCCATGTTGTATATAACATAAACTTATATTGTAATATATAGTGACAGGACTTCAAAATCAAAAATTCAACATCACAATAGCCAAAATATTCAGAACTGTTAAGAACATTTCTAAAAACGCTTTTCCCACTTGTACTACTACATTCTATAAGCAATTCAAAGCAAACGTAAATATGATAATGGGACCTTCTATTAATAGTCAAGACAAAAGATGTTTAACAATCTTATACTTACCAGGACGTTTGATATGTAGTTTGTAGAGCTTCCATTTGCATATGCAGTCTGAACTACTCCTAACTTCAAGTTAAGCCCACTAGCAACAACCATCTCATTTAAAAAGCCTGCAACCTGAACATGGTAATGTATTAGACATATTATTATTAGGTTTCACGATGCAGTTCGACAAAATAAGACCACTCCGTCAACATCAAATCTAAAGACTGAAACGTTTTCTTTACGATTTCGATTAATTAAAAACATTTTTCCAATTATTGAGATGAGAATTGACAAGGTGCCGTTATTTTATCTCAATTACTTTTTCCGTGATAAATGTGCAATACACTCACAAGGGTTGCAATTTTATCTCCATCAAGTAGACTGAACTTGCCACCTGTAAAATATGACGGCCACATTAGGGATGCATGATGACTCACTTTACTTGTTGGAACAAATGATAAATACCATAATACATTAGCAGGCAAATTTAAAATTAGGGAGACAAATCAGAATTTTGAAGAGCAGACTGCACAGCTATGTAAAGGTTCACCTAAATATAATTATAGTGTATATGTATATATATATATATATATATATATATAT